AATCCTCATAAACACTTGATAATTTATAAATTATTTTTATTTTCATATTTTACACCATCTGCTGTCTCACTTCACCCATGTTTGTTCTTCATCTCAGGGGGGCGGGGGTTGTTGCACATCAATCATTTCCATCAGCTCCCCATTTTTCCTGTACCTTCTCCCTACCCTCATGGTATTGCTACTCTCGTTATTGGTCCTGAGGGATTTATCTGTCCTGAATTTTGTGTGTCGAGAGTTTTATCTGTACCAGTGTAGATCCTCTAGTCTAGCCAGATTTATAAGGCAGAACTGGGGTCATGATATTGGGGGTGGGGGAGCATTAAAGAACTAGAGGAAAGTTGTGTGTTTCATCAGTGCTATACTGCACCCTGGCTGGCCGACCCTTCCTTGTGACCCTTTTGCGAGGGGATGTTCAACTGTGTACAGATGGGCTTTGGGTCTCCACTCCAACCCCCCTCATTCACATTGGAATGGTTGTTTGTTTGGGGTTTTCTGATGCCTGATACCTGATCCCATTGACACCTCATGATCACACAGGCTGGTGTGCTTCTTCCATGTGAGCTTTCCTGCCTCTGCTAAATGGCTGCTTGTTTAACTCCAAGCCTTTAAGACCCCAGACACTCTATCTAATAATAGCTGGGCACCACCAGCTTTTTATCTATTTAGCAGAAAGATTTTACAAGATAATTTTGAAGATAAACAAGCAAATATCTACCTGGGAAGCAACAAAGCCCACATGGAAGAAGAACGCCAACCCATGTGATCATGATACTGGATTAAAGCTCAAATAAAACATAGTATTGCATGTGTATATATATCTGTATTATTTTTACTGATATATAATTTCATATCTCAGATGAGGAAGCCTTGGTGGTACAGTGGTTAAGCACTCAGGTGCCAATCATTAAGTTGGCAGTTCAAACCCACCAGCCAATGCTATTGGAGAACAGTGCATCAGGTTGCTTTCATAAAGATTTACAGCCTGATAAAGCCTAAGGGACAGATCCCCTCAGATCTATAGGATCACTAGGAGTAGAAATCAACTGGACAACAGTGGGTCAAACTCAATTATACAAAATCTTTGTACCTGGTACACAGCAGCCTAGCAGTTTTAGACAACCTAGCACAGTGATGTTAAGACTGGTGTTGCCTAGGTCCAGGTTAGCAGATTTCAGAGACATAAACAGATAAAAGACTTCCTTGAATATAATGAATACACAAGAGGTACTATCAACTACTTATAGTGTGCAATTTGCAGATAAATGCATGAGTCATTTTTAATAAAAGATTAAAGAAAAATGAATACTTGGCAGTATTCATTTCTTAAGGTTAACAACTGCAGTCTAGTGGTCTGGGATTATGACAAAATGTCTGAAACTAAGTATCTCAATTTTTCCAATTACCTGCTGAAGAAACTGTACAAAGATCTTCAGATGCACAATAAAAATATAATATAACCAACCATGTATAGGTATTTTCCATTAAATTAGTAGTGATAAGAGATATTAATAGCTAACATTTATTGAGCTTTCACTATATGCCAGGCATGATTCATTTATCTTTATTAGAACCCCATGATTATCCCAATTTTATAAATGAGAAAACTAAGGCATAGAAAGGTCAAGGAGACTAAAAATTTATGGTCTGATCCATTCTTTCCACACACGTGGTAGGTAATTTTTTTTGTTGTTTTTTAAAAGCCAGGAATTTGGGCTAAGAAACACCAAGACACATCACTCTCTTTCAGCAGCCCTGGAATTCTTAAATGTATGTTGAAAATAACTTTTGGCTGATATATTTATAATGTTTAATTGGAAACTTTATACCATATACGGTTTACTTAATAAATAACCAAGATAGTAAAAAATACAAAGAACAGTAACCAAAAAAAAAACAAAAAAAAAAAAAAGAACAGTAACCAAGTTGGTAATTTTTAAAATTCACATGATTCCAGAGGCTCAGCTGTTGTTTACCCCTTTAGAAATCAATAACTTTTCATTTGGACTCTTAAATCCACTTTAATGAGCATTCTGCTGGCAGCAGTTTTATTTAAGATCTGAGCTCATATGAACAGAAGTAATCGCGGCTTTTACCTAGATAGCAATTTACTTGTATACAAGTTAACTTGTATAGACCACATGACTGATTTGAATGTATAAATCCCTACAATCACATTATACACTTTAAAAAATTTTAAGATGCTTTTAGCCAGAGGAAGTTTATATGGGAAAAATACTCTTGAGGTACAGAATCTTGATGTTGCTCAGTTCTTTTCAACATGTCTGAAAATGGTGGAAGCTTATACCAACCAGTAACATGACTTCCTTATAAGCAGTGTGGTGGTTACATAATATGTTGTCAATTTGAGACTTATGAGTGAAGAGATAGCGTTTACCTGTCAATCAGGTGCTAAGGAGATAAATAGCTCGCTGGAGACGGGACATTCGCTCACTCCCTGAGACATTTCTAAGGAGAAGCCACGTGAACCTACCCTGATGCAGCCAGAGCCCTGGTTCCTGGAGGAGCCACGTGGAGATCCCTGCCAGTGCTGAGATGCTTACACCACCACTGGATCCACAAGACTTTCCACCCACTGGCCTTTGATCTTCCTGCATTCAGCATCATTGCACGTGTTTCGTGAGTCTGAAGAGGACTTTATAGAATGGTACTGAGCATATGGACTAATATCGGACTTATGGACTTTATCTGGACTGGGCTGAGATGTTTCCTCAATATTCAATTGCTCTTGTATATCAAGTTCTTTCCTATAAACATATGAGTGTCTATGAATTTGTTTGTCTAGTCTACCCGGACTAATACAAGCAGTTAATGAAAGCCAGCCTGGGATGATACCAACGACTTTCTAAATAATTTTCATGCTTTAGGGTATTATCAAATTAAAATAATTATTATCCAACAACAACAACAAAAAAGAAAGGTCAAGGAACCCAACCAAAGTTAAGTGTAAATCTCAAAGAAATAAGAATAGTCAGTAGTCACAATTCCATAGGAATTAAGTCTGCAGCAGGCAAGGTGAGGTAGACCCTCCCTCAGGGCTCCGTGAAATTTAAGCTCTTCTAAGAATCACTGCAGCCCTTCCACCCTGTTTGTCTGAGTGTCACTGTGGGTAGAGACCTACAGAGTGATGAGAGCAGGCACGAACTGAGACACAGAGAAGCACTGCTTCTTTTTCTTCTCACCTCCTGCAGAGGCAACTGGAAAAACTCAAGAATAAGCCCAACGACACAAAGAAATGATGGAAACGCCTCTAAGAGTAAGTAAGTTGGCAAAGGTGCTAACAAAATTGCAATTGAAGATATACCTGTCTCTCAAGAAACTCAGAAGCATAGTTCTGAACCTTCTTGTTGGTGGTTTGAGGTGAGGATTCAAAGCCTCCTGGGGCACTCCTTGTAGAAAATGTCTTTACAGAGTAATAATCACACTTTAGATTTCACTATTTATACAGTACTTTTGCATATACAATTTTGTCTATTTTAAAAGTAAGTACTTAACTTGGAGTCAATTCTGACTCAGCAAGCTACAGGGCAGAGTAAATGCCTCCTGTGGTTTCCACGGTGCTCTCCATGGAAGCAGACTGTCACCTCTTTCTCTGCAGAGCAGCTGGTGGTTTCCAACCGCCAACCCTTCCATTAGCAGCTAAGCACTGGACAACGGCACCATAAGGGAGGAGGAATTACTAGTCCCATTTTACAGCTGCAGAGGAAGAAACTTAGAACGGGTTAGTGCAGGGGTCCTCAAACTTTTTAAACAGGGGGACAGTTCACTGTCCTTCAGACCCATTGGAGGGCCGGACTATAGTTTTAAAAAAAACTATGAACAAATTCCTATGCACAGTGCACAAATCTTATTTTGAAGTAAAAAGACAAACAAAGCAAAAACACCCGGCGGGCTGGATAAATGTCCTCAGCAGGCCGCATGTGGCCCGTGGGCCGTAGTTTGAGGACACCTGGCTTAGTGTCTTGCTCAGGGAAGCACCATTATCAATTAAGGAGGCTGAGTCTTGAGCTCAGGTTTCTGATTTTTAAGTTTACTGCGTTTTGCTTGGCACCATAACCTCTTTTTAAATAGGGCTCAGTTTGCGAAGCACTTTGCTCTGACCATGACAAGCATATGAAAAAGCTATATAAGAACTGTCTTGTGTACACTATCATTTCAGCATTATAAAAATATCACAAAGTAAACGAAGTTAATCATATTCACTTGAGTGAAGGGGAGGGAAAGAAAAAACTTTTTTACTTGGAAGAGAAAAAGTGAAATTAATATAAGCTCCATGAGGGTGGAGTTTTTACTATTTTGTTTCTTGATGTATTCCAAGCATCTAAAAGATTATCACCAATCAAGCACTAATCAAGAAGAATGCTTTCTTTTCTCAAGGTAAAAAAAAATTATATCTATATTACCAAGTACATATGAAATGCTTAATAAAAACTCTGCCTCAATTTTATTTATTAGCAAAAGGAACACAATAGCTCTTTGTGGTAGTTACATAATCTGGTGTCAATTTGGGACCTGAGAGGATTAAGAGTGTAAGGGTGGAGTCTAGTCTGTTAATTGATCATAGCCAATGAGGTCTCTGTGTGGGCATGGCCTTCCCCGATGGATTCTGGGAATTCCTGTTTTCCCCCCTGGGAGGCAGGAGACTGTCTCTCTCTCTCTCTCTCTCAGCTCATTCCCTTGGAAGCGCTTTATTCACAAGACACACGGCACTATGCTGATAACCCCCTGGGAGCTAGAGAAGCCACGTGGAGACCCCTGCCAGTGCTGAGATACTTACAACGCCACTGGATCCAAAGACTTTCTACCCACTGGCCTGTGATCATCCTGCATTTGGCATCATTGCATGTATTTCATGAGTCTGAAGAGGACTTTATAGACTGGTATCGGACAATGTGTTAATATTGAACTTAGAGACTTGAGCTGGACTGGGCTGGGATTTTTTCTCAATTCAACTGTTTTTATATATAAACCTTTTTCTTATAAACCTCTTTTCTTAATCATGTGCCCATGAATGTATTTCTCTAGACTATCCAAACACACTATTGCTTATAAAAATTAAAAGAGAGACTAATGCATATTAAGTACTACATTAACTACCATTATTATTACTCTTAGCAAGCAACTTGGATAATTCTTATACATAGTTAAATCTGAGAACTCTTGTCAGGGAAAATACTGAAAGCATTGGAATGGGTAAAGAGTGTAGATTGTACAGTGATAGCTCCTATTCTTTAGCTGTAAAATAGGGTGATGATGTCTGTCCAGAGTTAAACAGAGAAAACAAATGCAAAAGCCATACTATGGTTTACACATGAGAATACTGGAATGGAGTTTTGACTGGAATGAGATGTTCAGTGGGTATTACAGAGACGATCACATTGGGGAATGCAAAAAGGAAGACTCAAACCCAGGTACAGGAAAGATGTGCATGGAAAAATAAATTCATGAAGGACTTATGCTCAGCAGGCCAATGATCCAACTGCAATAATTAGAAAATTTTAATTGCATAAAAAAACTGTATGTTTAAAGGTACTGGTGACCTTTATAACTAAAGAGGTCTCAATGGCCATAAATGTACAGCAGGAAGTCAACTGTCCCAGGCAAGGCCTATGCTTCTGGCCTCACAATCAGAGATTGTCCCACGGACTTTACTATCAGCATATCAAATTTTTTAGAAGCCTGCTCCTACTGCCATCAAGTCAATTCTGACTCATAGCAACCTCTAAGGGCACGATAGAAGTGCCCCTTTGGGATTCTGAGCCTATAAGCCTTTATGGGCGCAGAGAGCCTCATCTTCCTACCAGCGTGCAACTGCTCAGTTCAAACTGCTGATGTCAGCAGCCTAACTCATAATCCACTACACCTCCAGGGCTCCTAACAGCTCCAAGAATTATAAACATCATGACAATGCTTTCTTTCCAGCACTCATTACCTATGATTCAAGTTTAAGATCGATGTAACATAATACAAAACTACTGAAAACAGAAAACTTACTGATATGTCTTTCTAGTCCTGCTTCAAATTTCTTAAGCCACAATAAAAGGTTTTGTTCAGTTATGGATTGGTCTGAAGGAAATGCAAACACTTGACCACCTGAATGCAGATTCACCAACACAAGAAGTGGAAGGGGAGGCAGAAGGTCAAAATACACTTGCAGAATTCCTCTTCCTGCAGGAGTATTCTTTCTATAAAAGGGAACAATTTAATATCAATATATTTCTATATCAAAACAGTGGGTAGATCATTCAGTCAATCGTCTGTAGATCATTAGACTTTATATATATCAGTCCTATAATGTAAGTTGATCTATGAAAATATTTTTAAAAAGCAAGAAGTCTACAACAATGTTGCTATATAGACTTCTCAAAAATTTTAACATGAGTATTGTGTTTCATTTACCAGGGCAAAAAAGTAGCCAGTGACAGTATAAATGCAAAATAGACATTGTCCAAAGGCTGTTATGTTAGGTTTCACATAGTCAATTGGTTCCTTCTAAAATTTAGCCAAATATCTGATCACACATGCCAGCTCACAAGTGAAATGGTTATGCAATTATAAGAAAACAGTTTTGTTTCTATTTTATGCATAATAAATCAAAATACTTATTTTATAAATGTTTCTCATGTTTATATTGTGGCTTTCCTAAAAAAGAAAGGGGAGGGAATGTTCAAATTAAAGAGTTTATAACAATTGTTTTTATACAAAAAGACCATACATTTTTAAGTTCAAGATACCTAGTTTTTCTTACACAGCACATTCCATATTATACAAAATATTGTTTTGCTCTCAGATAATGGAAATTATATTTATCTGACAATATCTCTCATAGGTAGTAGGTTATATTGTTAATGAAAGTACTCAGAGCACTCACATTTTTAGATATGTTACACTGACAAATTTAAACAAAGAATACATGAAATGATAACACAGCTAGGGATCTAAAATATATGCTAAAAAATCTCACTGGCCAATGCACTAAAATCTTTATGTGGCATTGTAGCTGAATTTGAAATTAGAGGTAGAGGAAAAATAAACTGACAGGAAATGCCAAAATACCATAATGTTTACTTTTCTATATTTGCCAAATTGTCCTCAATGGACATAAATTACTTTTAAAGTCATTAGAAAAATATGGCATTTTTTTTCTTATAAAACAGAATTCACCAAGGGTTTGTGAGAGAGGGTGGAGAAGAGAAGAGTAAAATCTGAGGAGCTGATACTAAGGGCTCAAATAGAAAGAAAATGTTTCAAAAATGATGACGGCAACAAATGTACAAATGTGCTAGACACAATGGATGGATGGATGGATTATGCTAAGAGGTGTACGAGCCCTCTATAAAATGATTTAAACAAACAAAACAGAATTCAATCTAAAACAAGGTCATCTGAGACTATCTTAGGGAGTTCAATTTCTAAAATGTCATGATGATACATAGCCATAACCACAGCAAGCCTGCCGGACAAGTGGGGTTTCAAGCCTATGAATCTTCACAGAATATGTGGCCGTATCTTTCCCGGTGAAGACACTTAAGACACTGCTCCCGTATATTAGCTTTGAAGACAAAGTCAGTTTTATTTCTTAGTGAAAATATAGTGCTCATTATTAACCTCATCTAATATTTTTAAAATTCAAATATACTCACAGATTTAGCCAGCAAGGGGTAAGTGAATCCAAATGTTTTTGTTTTATCAGTGCTGCCATCACTTCTTTATACTTATGATTTATGCTACCATCACTAAACAAAATAAGTAATGGTTTCTGAAGCCGTAAATACGTGGGAAGATTTTCCACAGTGATTTCTGGCTGTTAACACAAATAAAAACTATGGGGATGAGATGCATAAAATAGAAAATAATATCCACATAATTCATGCAATTTTAATTTGTAAAATATAATTAACATTTCTAAAAATGTCACTAAATGAAAATACATTTAAGTGAAGACTTTACATTAATTTTACCCAAAGAATTCTGTCTTTGCTCTTGATTCCTTGAAACATCTCTTTAAAGAAAACAAAAATTTGGAACTTTAAGTGTCTTCAATAAGAAGTCCAAATCACAACTTGCTAACAGGTCAGGTAAAGTGGAGACATGACTGGAATTGGGTCTACCTGGTCACAAAGATCCACCACTTACTACCTCATGATTATCTCAGCATCAACTGACCTCAAGAGGGAGGTGGGATTTTACTAATAAATCCTAATAAAAACTGTGAACAAGGAAGCTTCATGGGCTTCCTGGTTGATGAAAGGCCTTCATACACCTAAGAGGAAAGTAAACTGGAAACCCTCCTAGGCCTTACTATATGGGTCCACTCACTTACATTCTCTTATCCCATATTTGAATTGGACCTGTGGTTGTTAGATAATCTGTTATCAATTTGAGATTTAAGAGTGAAGGGGTTCAGTTTAGCCTGTCAATCAGGTCGCAGTTTGTTGATCTCATTTGGAGACGCAACAGAGATAAATAGCTAGCTGGAGGCGGGCCACGCACTCACTCCCTGCGAGACAGTCCTGTTGAGAAGGCACATGGAGCTACACTAGAGCCCTGGAACTGAAGGAGCCACGTGGAGACCCCTGCCAGCGCTGAGATGCTTCTATTGCCACTGGATCCACAAGACTTTCCACCCACTGATCTGTGATCGTCCTGCATTCAGCAACATTGCATGTGTTTTGTGAGTCTGAAGAGGAATTTTTAGATTGGTATTGGACATAGGGGATAATATCGAATTTATGGACTTGATCTGGAATGGGCTGGGACATTTTCTCAATATTCAATTGCTCTTGTATACAAATTTCTTTCTTATACACATATGAGTGTCTAAAAATTTGTTTCTCTAGTCTATCCAGACTAACACACCTGGGATATGGAATAAGAAGTACTTGAGCAGGGATTAAAAGCACAGGAAATAGAAATGAGGAGGGGCAGAGAGCCAATAAGATACACATACTGTCTTGGAAACCATGAAAGTCAAGTACACCAAGACAGTGGTTGAGTAGTTACTTTACACCTCCAGTAGTTTGGACTTTGTTCCTGGTCTTTGTGAAATAACCTTTAGTTGGACTACATTGGCCACACCTGAGAATTTGTATTAAAGGTTAGAAGCTAGTCTGAAAGCCTACTTGGATCCAAATGATGACTCTGAATTGGCTGATAAAAACCCAAGTGTCGGAAGATGTCATGGTCAACCGTCAGAACATAATCCCACAAAGAAAATGTTCTACATCCTATTTTGGTAACAACTGGGGTTCCCAAAACTTGTAAGATATTAGAATATGGGAGAAAATGTGGACCAAAACTTAAAATCATGAAAAAGACCACACTTACTGGTCAAACAGAGACTAATGGAAGAGCTGAAACTATGGTCACCCTCCTTCCAGTTTGGAATGAACTCATGCTCAATTTGCAGCCAAACAACAGACAGGTCTATAGGGTGAACAGTAACACTGCAAAGGTAAGCACTCCCTAGAACAATCAACTATTTGAGTTCAAAATGGTAGCATTTGCACAAGGTTAGAGCTCAAAGGCAAGAAGAGTTAGGGAAGGAAAACTAAAAACAAGAAAGAGAGGGTAGAAGTGCAATGTGTGATGTTACATTGTGGGGTTGGCAATCAATGACATGAAACAAAATGTACATGAACTCCTGAATGGAAAATGGATTTGCACTATAAGCCTTCACCTAATTCATAACAAAAAGTTAAACATAACCGAAAAACCAAAACATTACATCTCAATGAAGTCCTTGTGGGAGATAATCCTAGAAATCTTCTTTGGGGAGTGATATGTCTAATGTTTCTGAACCCTTCCAAACCTTGCCTGTGTTTCTCTTCTTTGAGTTGCTTCTGAATTGTATCATCTTATTCCTGCCTGTTTGTATCTCTAATTCTCCTGAGAGTTGTATCCTTTACCCTAATAAAACGCCTACCCATATGTATGTAAGTTCTATGTGACATTGTAGTAAATCACTCAGCAGAGCAAGAGAGAGTGCCATGGGGAATGAAATGCCTACTGTTGGAAACAATGAAGAATGTAGAATGCAGAGATGCACTTGACCTCCACTTCCTAGGAACCAGCTTTGTGATGATTTTTTTCACTAAGAGAAAGTAAATTAATTACTCACTTACAGACTTAGGCATGTAAGAGGATAACCAGGTGGGGCACGGTCTTAATAAATTATCTAGCTCTCAAGAATACTGAAAATAACTAGGATCAAATGGATAACACGATTATGTATCCTTATAAACCAATGGCTAACGGGAATATAAGAATGTAGAAAGGTCAGCTTTGCGAACTATTCTTATAAATATCATGAAGCTGATTTAGTCTTCAAAATCCATTGCCATCAATTTGATGCCAACTCAAAGCAGCTCTGTTGTTGTTAGGTGCACAACAGAAACACTGCCCAGTCCTGCACCATCCTCACAATTGTCCCCATGCTCGAGTCTATTGTTGCAGCCACTGTGTCCATCCATCTCCCTTGAGGGCTAACAAGCATGGTGTCCTTCTCCAGGGTCTCTCTTGACATGTCCAGAGTATAGAAGATGAAGTCTTTCCATCCTGGCCTCTAAGTACAGCAGGCCATGGCACTTTCAATGTCCTTCGCCAGCACACTTCCAATGCATCGATTCTTCTCCAGCCTTCCTTATTCAATATCCAACTTTCACATGCATGTGAGGTAATGGAAAATACCACGGCTTGGGTCCTATGCATGTTAGTCTTCAAAGCAATATCCTTGCTTTTCAATACTCTAAAGAGGCCTTATGCAAAAGACCAATGTAACAGGTCTTTTGATGTCTTTCCAACTGCTTCCATGAGCACTGATTGTAGATGCAAGTAAGACAAAATCCTTGACAACTTCAGTCTTTTGTCCATTTATCATGATGCCATCCATTGGTCCATTTGTGAGGATTTGGGTTGTTTTCACAACAAGTGGTAATCCATACTGATGGTTGCAATCTTTGATATTCATTATCGAGTTCTTCAAGTCCTCCTCACTTTCTAATAAGCCAGAATCAACTCACTGGCACTTTGGTCTTTATGTATTATGCTATTGATGTTTAATTAAATGCAAAATCAAGTAATCTAGATTATACATGTTGGACTACTGAACTCACTATTATACAAAGCACTATACTAGGAAGGCCTTTCATGCCACAGTACTTTGTCCTAAAGTTGTATACAATAAAAGAATAGTAGTTAATGTTTGTTGGAACTGATACTAACCATTAGCACTGTTAGCACGTTTTCATTTAGTCTTCACACTAACTCTCTGCAGGTGATAATTTCACTCACATTTTAGATATGTAAAATCTGCTGCACTGAGAAATTAACACAGAAAAAGGAAGGAATCAAGCATGGATTTGAAGGCAGGCAATCTTTCTAGAACCCAGGTGCTTTCTATCAAGCATCAACCTAAATCAACTATTTCAACTGACCAGTAGTGTCAGCATGAAAAATAACCCAAAGACATGCAATCTTTCGGCAGTGGATTTAAGGAGATACGCGGATAGAAAAGGGGCAATAAAACAGAGCAACTCAAACTCAAAAACGCTTCAGTTCACAAATCTTCATGCCGTAACAGCAAAAGTTGCAAGATCGTGTATTAAAATACACAATTTGATCTAAATTCTCCATTTCAAATAACATCCTTATTATAAAATATACTCACAAATGTTTCCAGTAATGCATCTGTTATTATTTGCACTATGTCTTGAGCACTAGTGCTACTTAATGGCATGCTCACTGTATGCCGTTCTTCGTGTCTGGCAAGGAGCAAGGCTGGAACAGTTGTAGCATATTTATCTGACCTATGGAAAAAAATATTGATTAAAATTCACAACCAAAAGACAGCAAGCCATAAAAAAAATGAAAACTTAGGCCAGGAGGTCAGTGTAAGGTAGTTGATGGATAGCGCTCTGCTAACGGGGAAAAAAAGACCTCAACTTCAAACAAACTAACCTTCACTACGAAGCTTTTTGAGGAAGTTTATGAGTCTTGACAACAGAGATTAAAAGAAATCAACAGATAACGATGTAGCCAGAATTGTTTAAATAGACAATTTATTCATCAAGGAAATGTATAAACAGGATTTAGAACACATTGAACAATGCTAAACATCTTTTGACTTCTCAACACATTGTGGAGAAAGGAGATGGGCTTTTAATAAATAGCTACTATTTTCCAGGCATGAAGCTATTGCTTTAGTAACATTTTCATCTGACCCTCAAACAGCCCTATAAAGTAGCACTATCACCTCTATTTCACAGATGAGAAAGTCAGGACAAAGACAGAGTGAGAAATTACTAGATAAGATTTAAACTGAGAAATTTTCCACATGGAGCTTACTCTCTCCAATGACCAGAATCCAAACCCCTCCATTTTTGCTTAAAAACCCCTAAACTAAGGAAAATGCTTGTGTGAAACTATCAAAGATTCATATCATGTGTAAAAACTGAACTCATGCCAAAGTAGAGATACTATATTATAAGCACTAACAGAGTGCACAATCTTCAAATTACTTAACAGATACTCTTTGTTAACCAGTTGGTTCTATACAAGGCACTCAGGATAACTGCTGGTCGAATTCTTTGACTTTAGTTAAATGCACAATGACGGCAGAGTAAAAGACAATGAGGTGAGTATTTTTCTGTTAAATAATTTTTAAAAAATTTTCTTACAGCTCTTATAACATTCCATACATCAATTGTATCAAGCACAGTTGCACATATGTTGCCATCATCATTTCTAAAACATTTCCTTCTTGTGCCCTTGGTATCAACAGCTCTTCTTTTTACCCCTCCCTCCCCCACTTTACCACTCTCCTGAATCCTTGATCAATTATATATTGTTATTATTATTTCGAACCTTACACTTTCTGTTGTCTCCTTTCACTCACATTTCTGTTATTCATCCCCTTTTTTGGTGGGGGCTGTATCTCCAACCTTGCAATGGGTTCCCCTTCTCCCTTTCCGCGCATCCCCCTCCCCTCATGATATCACTACTCCCACTACTGTTCCTGAGGCGTTTATCTGTCCCGAATTCCATGTGTCAAGAGCTCTTATCTGTACCAATGTGTGTTCTCTGCTAGCCAGATATGTAAGTTAGAACTGGGTCATGGTAATTGTGGTAGTTATATAATCATTTGTCAATTTGAGGATTAAGTGTAGTGGTAGTCTAGCTTGTCAATCAGATCATAGCCAATGAGGCCTCTGTGTGGGTATGGCCTTCTGAGAATTCTGGGAAATCAGGTACTTCCTCCTTGGAGGAGGGAGACACTTCTCGCTCTCTGCTCACACCCTGGGAGACATAGCAGCTGACAAGACACATAGACCCACCCTGATGCAGCCCTAGGTGCTGGAGACACCATGCAGCCCTGGGTGCTGGAGATGCCATGCAAAGACCCTTGCCAGCGCTGAGATGTTTCCAATGCCACTGGATCCAAGGACTTCCTACCCACTGGCCTGTGATCTTCTACCTTCAGCGTCCTTGCATGTGTTTGATGAGTCTGAAGAGGACTTTATAGATTGGTATCGGACATATGGGCTAATATCAGACGTATGGACTTGATCTGGACTGGGCTGGGATGTTTTCTCAATGTTCAATTGCTCTTATATATAAATCTCTTTCTTATACACATATGTGCGTCCATGGATTTGTTTCTCTAGTCTACCCAGACTAACACAATAGTGAAGGGAGTAAGGGGGGAGAAGCATTCAGGAACTAGAAAAATGATGTGTTTCATCAATGCTATATTGTACCTTGGTTGAACCATCCCTTCCTTATAACCCTTCTGTAGGGGATATCCAATTCTCTACAGATAGGCTTTGGGTCTCCACTCCAAAGGGTGGGTATTCTTGTGTCAGATCTATAAGTCTCACCTTGCCTAAAAATCTAGAGTTTACTATATATATTTTTGGAAAAAAATGATTTCACAAATAAAACAAGAGGTTGATTATTGAAAGCATTCTGTAACCAACATTCAGGATGAAAGCTCATTTAAGTTCAGACATTACAATTAAATTAGTCAGAAGGTGAGAAAGACAAACTACTGGGGCTTGGCAATTTCAACTTCATCTGAAAATAAACCAGGAATACAGAATGTGATGTGTATTAGTAATCTTTTTCACACTGAAGGCTGTTCAGCCCTTCATTTTGCTACTGGTAGTCAATCTGATAGACTTTAGGGCATCATCATTTACAAACACAGCAATTGAAATGGCTAAAAAAGGATTAAGTATGTTTGGATAGCTTGAAATTAAGTAGTTAGTATAACTGCATTTACCCAGGAGCAATACGGAGTATGAAAACACTGGTTTTTATATACCTTCATGGCAAATAAAAACCCAGACACTGACGGTGTAAAAGACTCTGAAAAGCGGTTATAATTCCAAAGAGCCTAAAATGCAGGTACTAGAACTCAAAGTGGAAATTTTCTGTAGAAGGATGAAAAAGTTTGAATCCAGAATCCAGAAAGAATCTAAATACCCTTGTTCTTTGTAGACCTTTTCAGAAAACTGAAGATTTTAGTAAATTGTAAGCTCTGTTGCTGCCCTATATTTCAACTGCTTGAAGAAACACGTTTCTTACATAATTTCTTATTCATTAAAGTTAGAAGAGCAAAAGACTTACAATAACAAAACATCTTCTTCAGAATAAATTCCAGTGAGGACATATCCTCTTAGAGAATTTCCTGCTTTAGTGAAGTTTTCTATGGCTATAAATACATAGACAAGAATAAAAATTTGAATGTTAAAATTATGTGAGCTATACAATTACTAATCTGATAGTAGCATTTTATTATCAATTAATTACAAAGACAAATATGTAATTGCAGACATCGTAAATAATTTAGTGACTCTAAAATAAATGTGACTTTTCCTAAAATTCCTTGATTACAGAAATGTAAATTGACATAATACAAATTGTGGTCCCCTACACATATATACATACAGTGAACCCTCGCCACTTTGCGCTTCGACGTCCGCGGCTTCACTCTATCGCGGTTTTTGCGTAACAGCGCATGCTCTGTCATTACTGCCACTGATTAGCTCAGACTGTACACGCTTGATACCATAAACAATATAATACATAATAAATGATAATTGTAACGTCCTAAATGTTTTACTGTATTTTCCCTTTTTCGTTTAATAAATTGGGTAATACGAGTGTAATGGTGACTAAAGGGCGTTTTTTCATGTCCTCTATGCTCTAACTACGAAAATATTTGATTTACAAATAAGGAATCCTACTTCGCGGGATTTCATTTATCACGGTAGGGTCTAGAACCGATTAACCGCGATAAACGAGGGTTCACTGTATATACAAAATATGCTTTTTAAGATTTATAGCATTCTAATCAAATGAATAGTTCCTAGATTTGTACATGGTAACATGCTTAACTACCAACTGAAGCTACTAACTGAACTGTTTGGTATCCCATCCAAACAGAAGCACCTCACTGGGAAGGCCTGATGATTTACTTCCTTAAAAATCAACGGAGAACTCTGCAGAGTACATATCTACTTGACACATAAAACTCCCCCTGGGGTGGTGTGGTTATTTGCTGGGCTGCTAACCAGAAGGTCCATGGCTCTCAGGGAAACAGGTGAAGCACTCTGCTCCTGTCAAGAGTGACAGTCTTGGACACTCACAGGGGGGCAGTCCTACCCTGCCCAGTAAGGTCACCATGAGTCAGGATTAACTCAATGGCAAAGAGTTTGGAGTTTGGTTTGACTGCAGGTGGTTAAAGCATACAGAGTTACTGAATTTGTATTTTTTGCTCTTTAATTTCTTCCTAAGGAAAGAATTAGATGTGTGGAATAAATATACATTGTAGTGACAGAATATAAAGAAAATTAAAATATATACGGCTGGAAATTCTAGATACCTAATAGTGTCTTTGTTGGCGCTGCACAATTTGGGATTTTATGTCTTTTTTTATTTTCTGTAATGTGTTTCTCTTTTTTACTAGGTTTTATTATTTTGTGTAACACCCTTTTCACATTTATTAGGATATACATATTTAAACACCTTTAAAAACATTTTTAACAACATAAGTGGCAACTACACCCATGGACCTTACTGGACAGGCTACACAGGAGTCAAATTGATTACAATTGTGGGACTAGATGACAGTTCAATATCATCAGCCAAAACAAAGCCAGGAGTCAATCAAGGAACAAACTATCAATTGCTAATATGCAAGTTCAGGTAAAAGCTGAAAAAACTATAACACAATTTCATGTAAGCCAAAACACAACCTTAAGTATATCCCACCTGAATTTAGACAACAGATTTGATGCACTGAACATTAATGATCAAAGTCTGACAAGTTAAAGGATGGCATCAAGATCAGCATACAAAACAGAAACAAAAGGTCATTAAAAAGAAAGTAAAATGAAAATGAATACCAGAAAACAACCGGGAAATTTGCTCTTGAACAGAGTAGCTAACGTGAATCAAAGTTGAAGTAAAAGAGCTTAAGAGTAGGAAGGGCATGCTCAACATTTCTCAAACTAAAAGAACTGGAAAAAAATTCAAAACTAGAGTGTCAATGGAGCCTTGGTGGTGAGGTGTCAATGGAGCCTTGGTGGTGAGGTGGCAACGGAGCCTTGGTGGTGAGGTGGCAACGGAGCCTTGGTGGTGAGGTGTCAGTGGAGCCTTGGTGGTGAGGTGGGTTGCATGTTGTGCTAACTACAAAGCCAGTATTTTAAAGGCAGCAGTCACTCCAAGGGGAAAAATGAGGCTTTCTGCCTCCATAGAGTTACAGTCACATATATCTTCAGAACATGGGTGACTGACAGGACACTAGTTATACTGGACTCTGGTTAGCATGTGGATTGGAAGTATGGCAATACTACCAGTAACACTCAGTTATGAAGGTGAAATCATGCTAGGTAGACTAACACGTTACATAAAGGCAGAGAGAGCATGAGAACAGCAATTATATGTTGGTTCCAGGTTAGGCACTCTGAGAGCAATAGGTACAAATTTATAATGACCACCAATTCCCTAACCTTTGAATATCCATCGTCTGCTTCTTCTCCCATTAAGACATTTCAGTTTATAGTTCAAGGAAGTATGTATGTCCATTCCTTGGTTCTGCTATAAATGAGTTTAAGGTAAAGTCCAGTTCAATTAGTGGGGTTTCCAATTCTGGTCCTCTCTGATGTGATCTACAAAGGGTGTTGTATACCTCCTAAGGACAGAGCTGTCTAAGTTGTCTACAGCACACTGCCAGGGTTGTCTGGTTTGGAACTAGGTCAAAAGAACCCAGTTAGAAATACAATACTGGGAGCATTACACCCTTAGGATCTCTACAAACATGAAGCATTTTTCCCAGTGACAGGATGTCCCACCCAGATCACCCACCATCAGAAGTACAACTGCCCGAGCCTCCCATACATACATAACCCCCACCCCCATCCTTCGATCCGATCTCCCAGTAAAGTTCACTAATTATGCATGTAGAATTATCTGTGAAGTTTCAACAGTGCTTTATCATTGAATAGAATAATGTTACTGTAAAATAAAATTAAGCACCAACAGGATGATTTGTGATGTACTAAAATAAAATAGCAATGATGGCGCTAAAAGTGAACCAGGGACTTATAGAAAACTTAAATATATTAATGGATTTTGAACTCTCACTTGGTCATAGCTCTAATATAAAAATAATTAGTTGTTATGACATGGTCCTGCCTGGCACTCACCCTCATGGAGAGGTCACTGAAGACAAAGGTGTCACAGTGAAATATGATGGAATCAGATGATGCCCAGGTACCATGAAAAATACTATCTGGGGTCTTAAAAGAATGTCTCAAAATAAGCAGCCATCTAAGCAAGGAGTCAACTAAGTCTACACAAAAG